ACCACTATTCTAAATATAGTAAGGCGGAGAACTGTTGTTCATTAGAGCGCCGGGGTGCAGAGGTTGTTCCCATCATTGAAGTCAGAGTGTGGGACTGAGCCTTCCGAATGATAAAGACAAAAAAGTGCTTTTTTTCGTTGGAAAAACCAACGCAAATCTCATATTTACTTTCTCTCGCCCGGATAGATAGAAAAGGTTGGAGAGAGTGACTTTAACCGCCTGAAATTCTCTCCCTTCTAAAGCTGCGCAAGGCGGCCCCCCCAGAACAAAGCCCCACCCCTCTTTTCTCCCTTTAATGAAAGACCCTCGCCCCGCTTCCTATTCATTTGTGGGTCGGGACCCGAAGGCCCCTTTTTTTTCTCAAGAGGTGATTTCGAGAATCAATCAACCGACAAATCCGTACCCCAGGTGACTCACAGCCTCCCTCTCGCCCAAATGAAATGGGATGGATTAAATCAATAAGCTTTTTGATTGATTCAGGGCGCAGCGAAGCCAAATTCAATCAAGGCAAGGGGGGCTTGCTTTTCCTGACGCTGAGTCATCCTATTAAAATTTAGCTATGCTAATGGAACAGGAAAAGTATTCAGATGATATGGACCCCGGCGAGAACCTCCAATTGCTTAGGGGTCGCACTCTCTCCCGCTTGGTGGACGAAATCTTCTCTCCTTTTAGAATTCTTTCTCCCACACACCTTTGCCCTCTTTCACCGCAGAGGAAAGAAGAATCTTCCAAATAAATATATAACAATTTTTTTTTAGTAAGTAGGGCCCCAGAACGCTAAAAAGGCGGGGGAACTAGAGTTGTCACGATAGGAAAGATAAATGACTATAAGGAACCAACGATTCTCTCTTCTTAAACAACCAATATCCTCCACACTTAATCAGCATTTGATAGATTATCCAACCCCGAGCAATCTTAGTTATTGGTGGGGGTTCGGTCCGTTAGCTGGTATTTGTTTAGTCATTCAGATAGTGACTGGCGTTTTTTTAGCTATGCATTACACACCTCATGTGGATCTAGCTTTCAACAGCGTAGAACACATTATGAGAGATGTTGAAGGGGGTTGGTTGCTCCGTTATATGCATGCTAATGGGGCAAGTATGTTTCTCATTGTGGTTCACCTTCATATTTTTCGCGGTCTATATCATGCGAGTTATAGCAGTCCTAGGGAATTTGTTCGGTGTCTCGGAGTTGTAATCTTCCTATTAATGATTGTGACAGCTTTTACAGGATACGTACTACCTTGGGGTCAGATGAGCTTTTGGGGAGCTACAGTAATTACAAGCTTAGCTAGCGCCATACCTGTAGTAGGGGATACCATAGTGACTTGGCTTTGGGGCGGTTTCTCCGTGGACAATGCCACCTTAAATCGTTTTTTTAGTCTTCATCATTTACTCCCCTTTATTTTAGTAGGCGCCAGTCTTCTTCATCTGGCCGCATTGCATCAATATGGATCAAATAATCCATTGGGTGTACATTCAGAGATGGATAAAATTTCTTTTTACCCTTATTTTTATGTAAAGGATCTAGTAGGTTGGGTAGCTTTTGCTATCTTTTCTTCCATTTGGATTTTTTATGCTCCTAATGTTTTGGGGCATCCCGACAATTATATACCTGCTAATCCGATGCCCACCCCGCCTCATATTGTGCCGGAATGGTATTTCCTACCGATCCATGCCATTCTTCGTAGTATACCTGACAAATCGGGAGGTGTAGCCGCAATAGCACCAGTTTTTATATGTCTGTTGGCTTTACCTTTTTTTAAAAGTATGTATGTGCGTAGTTCAAGTTTTCGCCCTATTCACCAAGGAATATTTTGGTTGCTTTTGGCGGATTGCTTACTACTAGGTTGGATCGGATGTCAACCTGTGGAGGCACCATTTGTTACTATTGGACAAATTTCTTCTTTAGTTTTCTTCTTATTCTTTGCCATAACGCCCATTCCGGGACAGGTTGGAAGAGGAATTCCTAATTCTTACACGGATGAGACTGATCACACCTGATCAGTGAAAAATTCTGACACCAATCATTTTCGAGTGAGTATTACACCAAGAATTAATTGACAAGCGGATGAGTTTTCTAGTTGGCTATGTTGATATAGCTTAGATAGGGAAAAGATACTATATATAGGGTAGGGCTGCACTTTTAAATCCGGGGCTTTGTTCCCGAAACTCCCCCTTCCCCCTCCCCGTCCCTTACTCGTCTTTTGAAAGCCAGAACATTCGCATAGAGGAGTATCTGTATCACGCATGCTCCTCCACTGATGACAAAATGACCTTATATCCTCCTCTAGGAATTCCTACCCGGGGAAAGAAGTAGAAGAGTATTCTGCATGAATATGCTTCTGCACTGGGAATATCTCATAGTGGGAAGGCCCAGAGATCATAAAAGATGGGATGGGAATGAAGGCATTCCAGCCCAACATAATCCGGTGAATGGGTCGAGAGAGATAGGGAGGGGGGGGAGGGGGGATACAGGAAGTATAGTGAACAGTTAAGTGGCTATCCAAGCATTCAATCGGCTATGGAGGGAGGTTTCAGCAAGCGGGTAAGCCGATGATGACTAGTAAAAACTTAGGTAGGTCGATCGTCGCTCATCCCTCGTGTTCTCTCCCGTGAAGTGATTAATCCCTAAAGTGGGCATGCAATCCCTATGGAAAAGCAAGTATTCCGATTGGAGGAAATTTCCACCCTCTGATGATCCATTCCGCCCAAGACAACACAGAGGATGAAGAGTTTGTATAGGACGAGAGCTAGCCTTTAGACGAATCAAGGATGACCTCTCTGAGGCACCAGTGCTAATGCCTCCTCGGCCCGGAAGAACCACTACGGCTATACATATCAGCCTCAAACGAGTCGTTGGGAACATTCTTATCGCAGAAGAACGGAGAAGGAGTGGTTTCCCTCTCTTCGGGAAGTGAGACAGACGACTATTTTCATAGAGAGAGAGCACTAGACCTGACTAAACATCATCAGCGAGAAGTCACGTCTTGCTTGCTAACACAATATCTTAAGTAGTAAATGGTAACTTCACTACATCCATTCGCCTTGACCGGATCATAGCGTTAGCGGAGTAGGGAACTCCCCCTAAGAACCGATCGGCATGTTGACCTGCTCATCCGCGAGTATGCTCTTAACATGCGTTTAATCGGTTTCAGTGATTGAATTCGAGTCCTACAGAGCGAGCGTGCCATCAAGTATCAAGTAAAGATAGGTTTGAGAAATAACTCTATATAAAAAATCAGTGGTGCATTGTATCCGCTCTCAAGCTGTAGTTGATTGATGTAGTTGCTTGTAGTTTTCTTTTATCATCGAGATTGGGTTGGTGTTCAGTGCCGTGGGTACAAGATCGAAAAGAATGCTTTGCATTACAAGTGAGATGCCCAAGATAAAAGGATCCGAAGGAGCTCGACTGCCAAGGAAAGGAACATCGGCTCTAACCAATGATTGCCAGTTCCTAAGCTCCGGCCTAAAGACAACTGCCTTCTCAACCCACTCGTACGGCTCGTTCACAACTCTCAGGTCCCACCCGATTTCTGATAGAATTGCTGGTCTGCTCCGCTGTAAAAGCCGGCATTTATGGAACTGTTGCCACCAAGAATGTGTCCTCTGGCGTTGGGGACCCCATCCTCGGCTTGGGCATGGGAGTCAAATGTATCAACCTCAGTGAGTGTGGCCAAGAATCTTTCTTGGGTCATCAAATTGGGGTTGCCATAGGGAACGCCACCTCGTTCAAGCACAAGAACTCGATAGGACTGTGACAAGGTGGCGGCCAACGGACAACCGGCAGTGCCACCTCCTACAATTATATAGTCATAGTAATCCTCCGATGGAAAGTTTTTGGCGTTGAACACAAACTTTATATAACTTGGATCTGGTGCAGAAATTCAACAAAAATGATTAGCTTCTATTTTAAAAACTGAAGCAAAACAGACGACAAGAAAAGATAATTTTTATGTTCTAATGAATGTCGTTTAGGTCTAACTGTATTTAACTCATGTTAAGTGGAAAATGGAAATTTCTTTTTTTTGCATTTAGCAACCAAACGGCTTGAATTGATTTAAGCGCTTAACTCTTAGCTCTAAGACTGAATAAGGCATCTACGGATATGAGTTCGGAATCATAAGTAGGAATTTCTTGAAAGCCGAGAAGCGTTATAGGGCGAGGGGCCTAGCGTCTTTCTCGGAATAGCTATCTAAAGTACCCAAGCCAAGGGCAAGGTTGATTTTTCCTATAACTCTATCAATTCCGATTGAATGCCCATCTTTAGAAAGCGTTTACCCCGCAAGAGAGGAGGATTGATGGACATAGGCTGCAGATGGACCAGAATATGCTGTGGGACTTCTGACGTTCGTTCCTCCTTATCTTGCCCGGTAGGTTGTTACAGAAAGAGCCAAACCAAAGCAAAGCAGGGACTGATTCCACATGGGGAAAGAAAGGAGTCGGGCTAAATAGCGTAGATAAGAGTTTTCAAGTTAGGCTTTTTTGAAAGAAAATGCCTTTTGTTGTTGTCGCGTCTTAGGGTCTTATCGGCTTTGAGGCTAGTGACCTTCTCCGGTCTGTGATGGAAGCAATCTCTCTCCGGTCGGTTCGACTGTTAATGGTTTAATGAATATCTCCTTAGGAAGAAAAGGCTCTTTGGCTCTTTGCAATAAGCGCTGTTCGAGGAATAACCACATCCGCTGCTGTGAAACGGTCTTACAGTAAGCGCTCTTAGGCTAATAACCGCTGTTCGTTAATCTAGCGTTTTCGATTTTCACTAATCCGAATCTAGGGGTTGTTCACGAATGTCCTCTTTCATAAGAGCAAGGTGGTGAGTAGGCAACGTCGTTTTTAAGTCATTGATAGACCTCTCCTACTATACAGAAAAAGAATCCGATTATGTTATGTGCATTTTGCCGGGCTTAGCCCTAGATACCCTCCCTACCCCTTTCGACGCAGCAATGAGAACAGCAGGGGTTGCTTTACTTCTTGGCGGAGGAGTGAGTGACTCTTCTTCTTTTAGGCTGGCATGGTCTTAGAATGCACGATAGAAGTGCGGACTAAGAGCTGTTTAGCGGGATAAACCCTGTGGGATAACGGTTCTTTTAAGGCATACCTCTCTTTCTGATTCTGACTGTCTTGCGAACCTTGCTTTAAAGCTTTCACGTGGGCAATTGATAATGTCAATATTCTAACTCCTTTTTCTTTTTCGGAGGACAGAAAGAAGACGATTTTCGGGCCAGACGATTTTTCCACTTTCATTAGACGCTCTCCTGGCTTTAGCGGAATAACAGCAGTTGGTAATATTATAGGTAAGAAAGAAGCCAATGTCCCTAGTATCAGGAAGAGGGTTGACGAAATCATAGGGTGCACATTCATATGATTCTAGAAATTCCTTTTTCATGTCCGTTCCCAGGCGAAAGACGGCTATTCTTCGCATCTCGAAATTAAATTCCGTCTTAGCCGTGGAAGGCAGAAATCCTATCCCTTCCAGCTCTCATCCTAGGATAGTCTCAAGCAGAGGTCTTACAGGGAAGGGAGTTAGCAAGCGAGTAAGGTTCATCAGCAAGAGTTAGGCCAGGGGGAAGCTCACTCCTGTCCATATGATATGGCTTTTCCCTTTCAATGGGTCATGTTTAACTCAGCCTATGCCCCACCGCCTCACGAATAGAAGGGTAGAGAACGAGATTCCATTCCACGGAGATGCCTAACGGCCACTTTGGTCCCCCACCTCAAGCAAGAAACGAAGCCGAAGAAGAAAGGCTCTAAGAGACCTGTTCTTTTTTTCTTAGCGGCTTGATCGAGCAGCCTTTTAGATAGGATAGCGAAAGAAATGTCTAGCAAGCGGGGTTGGGTACTCCCGTATCCCCCGCAGCAGCCATAGCCGGGCAATTAAGGTGCTTTTACTTGTAATTCTTATTAACGAACAATCAGAAATGCTAACCTTGTTTCATCCGAAGAGACGAATAAGAAAGCAGATCGGAGAACCCCAGGCATGGAATGTTGGTCGAGGCTAAGGGGAACTCCACCTACTCGCTCACTTGTTAGCAAGGTTGGAGTCCTTATCCGCATCTATCTTACTAAACGGAATCGCCCTAATCGAAATTTCGATGGATTGCCAAAAAAATAGAGCATATCGCACCCCAGAGGGGGCCAGTACCCGCACGTAAGGACTATTTGCCCGCTGCCACAGTTAAAAGCACGGATCGAACGGGGTAAGTATCTTTGTCCCTTCCAAGTCAACTTTGTCTCTGAATGGGGATTTAAATACTTATGGGGGGTTCTTTTTAGTGCCCGCTACTATTCTCAGGATAGAATGTATGAGGCAAGAGCATGTTGCTCGCAGTTTGCATTTCTTCGGGGGCGTGAGTCAGTGAAACCCGTGTTGTTCTTCCCCCCGTTCCCTCATTGGTTTATCAGATCCTCCATCTCTGGAAAGAGAAAGAGAGTTCGGAAGAAGATTAAGGGAGAATAAGTAGAGGAGAGGATGGTTAATCAAAAGATAGATGGCCGGGTTAGAGCTTGCTGGTTAGCTGGGCGAGAAAATAGAAAGAAAAATAGAGAGATGGAAAATGAAGTAAGCTTGAGCCTGCGGAACCAGTAATGGATCAAAGCAAAGGATAGCTTTTTAGCTGCGAGCGGATGAGCGAGAAATGGAAGTGCCTTGTTAAGCGGCTCCTTCCTGCCCCTTACCCCTTGGTGTAAATCGGCTTGGATTCTTCTGCTTTCTCATCTGCTCCAGTCAATGGTCTCTGCTCGAAAGTCCCATTGCATGAAAAAACTCAAAAAAGAATAGGTGATCGTAGGTCAGCCCGTAGGTAAGTTCCGGTCTTTCATTGAGATTTTCTCGTTCATGATCTCTAATCCTTTGAGTAGATTGGGCAGGGGTAAGACTATGCACATAGCTTCGGTTCCGTCTTGTTTGCCAAGGAGATATGGTTGCTTTTCCTTCTTCAGTAGGCTTTCCCGCAGGTTCGGTTACAGATAGGATACGCGGGTCAAAGGGAAGGCTTGAGTTCAGAGACGAAGTTGGCTTTGAAGGGACAAACTTTCAGACAGTTCCTTACTTTCTATTCTCTAATCTCTCGCTTCCGACTCCTATATTGAAACTCTAAGGTACGAAACTATATATTTAGTCTCTGTCCCGGACTACACAAATTCCATAAACCCCGTGTTTTTTGATGCAAATTGTGTCAAGAGAGTAGTTTCCGCAAGATATTCCATAGGTGGATTTAAGCGGAAGATCTGCGTGATCTGATCTTTCTTGAGGACTAGTAACTGGTCCTGTAGCTAGAAGTCCCCATGAGCTCCCTCAATTCCTATTGAGATTGAGAAAGGGTCCATAGGCTTCTCTCTCAAGAACATAGGCTTCTCTCTCAAGAACATAGGCTTCTCTCTCAAGAAAGCGGGTCTTAGTGGGTAGTATAGTGCCGTTCAAGCGTACTCCCTGCGGGTAGGGTCTAATACCCCTTATTGGCATGAGGAACTGGGCTCCCAATTCTTCATCCTCCTTTTTGAGCTGTAAGACCAGGCAAGGGATCCCGCTTAGTGGGTTCGAGTTCAGTAACAGAACCTCCTAGCCTGCCCTTTTTTAATAGATATCTAGGGTTGTCGGCACCCTTCCTCTCCCTCTCCCTACCTTTGGTCGAGCTAGTAAACTTCCTCAACTGGAGAGGGAAGAATAAGCTGCAAAGCTCTGCTGGTGAATAGCAGATGATGCTCGATTAGGTATGCCAATCCGGCAGCTTGAAGGCGCGTGTCTGATGTTTCGGTAGGATGTTGCTATGTCCGCTTTCAGCCCGTAAATCGAAGGCTGTTCTTCCCATAAGGGGGATGACGTTATAGGGTTCAAATTAAAGAATCTTATAGGTGGAACTAGACATCGAATAAATATTCGTGCATCTCCTAATCGGCGTTTTCTCATCTGACTTTGCTTTGAATCTCCCCTTTGATCTAGGGCGCTTCACACGAGAACTACTAGAAAAGGGGAAACCCCAATCGCCAATCGCATCGACAAAACAACGCCTGGTTGAAATCAAGGATTAGAATCCGTTCGCGACTTGGTTTTTCAGTTCAGATAATAAAACTTTCAAAGGAGATTCTAGACTTGCAATCAATCCCTTTTCTTATTAGGCTGAAACCGAAAGCAAAAGACCTCTTGGTGTGGGGGCACCAGATCTCCACTTAAAATACTAGGAATTCTTAAACTGACTAGCAAATGTAGGGCTTCCCAGGGGTCTAGGAAGGGAAGCTACGAAGTCTTGGAGGTGGTATCCATGTTCATGAATATCTTATCGAATTTGCAGGTTTTCGTTCAAGAGCCGGTAACTGAGAGTGGCAGCCTGTAATCAATTTGGCGAGTACGGCAGATTGCTTTCTGTTTTTATAAGAAAGACTATCTTGCTTGGGGAAGCTCTTTCACTTCTAGAAGCCTATAAAGATGGATCCGCGCCTTTATGCCAGCGGGACAGATCTTGATGTATGGTACTATGTGAGGAAAAGTATGTGAACCTTGTTACCATACCAATCAATAGGCTGTCGAGAACGGGAAGAAGACTTCGGCGAAGAAGAGGTCGCTACCAGCAAGAAGAAAGATAAGCGGGCATAGGCTGCTTTTGACGTTGGTCTGGCGTAGCCAGTTGGCTAGTTGGTTTCTTAAGTCTGTTTACTCCGGATCGATCTCACGAGAAGAGCTCCCGACCTCCCATACCTCAGGTGATGCACTTATGGATCACTTGTACGGAACAGAATACGCCTCTTGCTCCTCCTAATGCATTCGTCTGTGTAGTTGATGTAGTCTGGTTATGAAAAGGAATCAGTCAGAAGGAAGGGCTCTGTAGAGCATGGGGAACGCTAGTTCAGGATTGCCATGGTTCGGAGGGTGGGTGACCCTACTCTGCCAGACAAGACGTGTACCGGTCGTACCCGAAAGTGAATAAGGCACTCTTTGTCGGTCGCTGGCTTTTATTAGAACCAATTGATGCAGATCGCTAACCTACAAATAAAGAGACCCGCTCCGATCATCCACACAGCTACCATTTGTTTGATATGGTTTACCCGATGATCCAGTATTGGCTCATTCGGAGGGTGCCAATTCCCGATTCCTATACGTCCTATGCGTCGAGTGAGGCAGTTACCGCAAGTGATGAATCAGCTGCTACCGTGGAATCCTCGCCCGGAAGCTCAAGCTCCCCCAATGCCTTTAATCGATTGTACCGGCTCTCTTTTCGTCGAATCGTAACCGGCGTCTCGTTGAATTGGACGTAGTAGCAGTAGGAGAAGACGAAGAACCATACCGGAGACTCGGGTAGCCAGATAAAGGTCACCTTATCTCTGTCTCGTCACCTACGTGATATAATAAAAGGCTAGCTGCAGCAATCACTGGAAGCCCACTTAGGCACGCAATTCAACCCTCAGCCCAAAAGGGAGCTGAAACTCATGATAGAAGCCCACTTTCGTTAGTGAATATTCGACATGTCAAAAGATGTTTGTTTTACCCCCTTCTTCCTTAGCACAAGCGCTAAGCGATAATAATACCTTGCAATGAACCGAAAGGTGAGAGGCAGGGCTCGGTCTCAAGGTTCAAAGTCACTAGAGAGTAATTAGTTTGATTGGCCAACTGCACGAGTGAAAGGCGAAAGTCAAGATTACGTGCAACCAGGTGTAACGTGTCAAAGGTCACCGAGTCGTCGGAAAGGGGAATAGGTTGTTTTGCGCATCCAACAACTGAAAGAGTTTGCGGAGAAGGGTTGAGTTGCGTAATAGCAGATTCGTAGGTCAATAAATCGTTGGATTTGAAATCGAACTCTCCACCTTAGCACAAGCGCTAAGCGATAATAATACCTTGGGCGGATAGGAATTGAGACTTTAAATGGTCCGCTCTTCTCTCCTCGTGATCGAAGCTGACCCCAGAAGTTGGGTATTCCTTCTTAAGAGGACACTAAACCTCCCGATCTTGCTAGCCGGGCTCAGTCTTTCAAGATTCAATCTTTCCCCTTCCCCCCTTACGTAATAGGGCCTGGTCCCAGGGAATCGCTCTTATAGTAGGAGGTTTACTATGTCCCCAACTTCTCTTTATTAAGAGACTCGGTTGTGTACTATAAAAGAAATGGATTGTACCACAAGCGCTGATCCCAAAGAAAGGAGTTGGCTCTTCCTTAGCACAAGCGTTAAGCGATAATAATACCTGCATCCATGCATAAAGAATTAGGTTGTAGGGTCCTCGAAGCCCGCCCGCCAAAGGGCTAAGTCGAGCGATTCCTCTGGGGATCTAGCTAGCTATAGTATCACACGATTCTTTCATCTTCTTTTCACATTCATTCTAGGTGGAAAATCGTCTACTTTAGAAGGCTAAGCTAAGGCTTTCCTCTTTGTGAGGA